TTAGAGGATAGAATAACAGTGCAATCCATTTCAATCCATGCCATGTGCATTATGTTTTTGGCTATCATTGTTCCGCCTTACAGCGGGTCAGGTACATCCAGTGACCTCGCCAAAGCTCCACCAGCGAGGGGGCCAAGCATGCAGAAATGACAAATTAGAATGGCATTGTTTGTTGCACGGCCCACATGAATCACTCGTGATGCATCACAACCATGAATAGGGAGAGAGGAAAAGCTAAACTAGGTGACCTAAATCAACCAGCCATTTTATAAAATAGAAGGTGGACATATTGATTTTAACATGCTCAAATGAACAAAGCCATTTCTCTTAAATCACCTTATTTTTGATAGCTTGCAGCCGTACACAGTCCGGCTCATCCTGGCAGATATTGTTTCTCATTTATCTCACTTATACATGCAGTGACATTCACATAATTTCTTACCGCGACGCATTAACAGCAGACCCTGGGTGGTTTATTCAAACAATCCCTGCTAATCTTCATTCATATCATGCAAGGATGGGCAGAGCTAGCAGACAATGGACCAGCCTCTGACCAAAGCAAGCTAATACCCGAGCAAAAACACGGGCAGACTGAATAAAGAGCGCTCACTCAATGGATTCAGTCATCTGCAGGAGCTCAGACTGCACTGGCACACGGACACTAATGTTATGCAACTTATTCATGAGAGGCTGACATTCTGAGGTCAGTCTGCAAAGGTTTTGTGAAATGATTTTGAAATGAGAAATAATTTGTTTGTGGCAATTGCAGGAAGTAGACCCATCACATTCTCTTGTGTTAGTTAATTGCTAAATGTATTCCCGTAATTGAGCTTTGTATGAGGTGAGTTTGTGTTAAGGATATTTTTGAGTTTGATCATTAAATATCAAAAGCATCATGAGTCTCTACAGTTATTCAGGTATCTATCCATCACCAATTTCATTTATTCATTCTCCACAGAAACATTGAACAACCGGTTTCTCTTAGAACTAACTGTTCTCTGATCAGTGTGTCAGCCTGGTGAACTAACTGTTCTCTGATCAGTGTGTCAGCCTGGTGAACTAACTGTTCTCTGATCAGTGTGTCAGCCTGGTGAACTAACTGTTCTCTGATCAGTGTGTCAGCCTGGGGTTCAGTCCACAAATCAGGATATTTTAACAATTAAAAAGACCATCACTTATTTACATTCTAAAATAAAAGTCCATTCGTCAAATTCTTCTTCACTGAAATAAATCTTATTTTACAATATAAAATATTCAAATACCACCAATCATTTTGATGGCAAAAAACCTGTCAGTGTCTCTTATTCAGACATCTCTATCATCTGGAAACTTCCCAGTAAACACAATTATTCCTGTCACAAGGACAATCTTGTGCAACCATTCTTCGAATAAATCATAAACTCAGTTTGTGCCTTCATAACATCCAACCTGTAGAAATACTGCAGGTCATTCACAGCAAACCCACACCAACATGCACAATTGTGGTGTCTCGTCAAATGTGTTGGTTGTGTTTGTTTTATGTCTGTCATTTCATGTTTAGTCAGGTATTTATGTCGAGTCAGGTTTTCATGTTGCTTCACGTCATGTCAGGTCTGTCTATTTATGTCTGTCGTCTCTAGTTAAGTCCCCGTGTTTCATGCCGGGTCTCGTTTTCCATTTCCTGTTTTATTTTGTACTTACCTCTTGTCTCTCATTTCAGGCCCTGTTACTTCCTCCCTTTGTGTGTTTTCCCGCCATCGTCAGCGTCTGCCCCGCCCCTGATTGTTTCCACCTGTTCCCACTCACCTCATGTTTAAATAGTCCGTGGCCGTTTCTCAATGTCGAGTATAGCTGCTGCAGAGCCACTATTTCAAGTATACTACGTCATCGAGTGGTGCCGAATGCTGGGCATTTAAACAGTCCTTCGGCGCCACTCGATGACGTAGTATACTTGAAATAGTGGCTCTGCAGCAGCTTGACTCGACATTGAGAAACGGCCCTTGTCTCCCCTTGTCTTGTGCCAGTTCGTCTTGTTTCAGTGTGCTTCACATGTCCAGAGACCCAGCGTGTTACCAGAGAGGAGAGTTACCAGAGAGGAGAGTTACCAGAGAGGAGAGTTTTGTTTGTTAGAAACCAAGAGCTTTATTTTGTCCTCGCAGGAGTGATCTTTTGTTTGAACTTTGTTTATTTCTTCTCATTAAAAAGTGAGTCGTTGCAATTGAGTCCAGTATTTTCGTACCTCGTTCTAAGAGTAACCTGCCATTTATTTCTGAATGTTGGTATGGTTGGGTGAATATTGACCAGTTAGAGTGAAATAGAAAGATGTGGACAGAATAAAGACAGTAAAGGATAGTGAAACGGTTATTTTGTTTGGAGTCATTTCTCTAAGAGCGGATGTCTTTGTGGCCAATATTAACAATAGGAACAATAGCAGCAACCAAACTAACTAACTTTCTCAAATGATAACTTCAGAAGAATTTGGAGACCTTGATCACAGATGAAATAGAAACAAAAGTGCTTT